ACCTCAAAATAGAACTTCACAAATATCATGTCTGCGCTATTTATGTTTCCTCACTGCTGCGTTTTATCACTGCTGAATTGTTACATAGCTTTGTCAGCCCCGGCACAGCTTTCTTTGGATCGGGCATTTAAAAACACATTTAAAAATTTATATACCATATTATATTAAATTAGCCGAATAGTTTTTTGTAAATGTTTTTATATGAAACTTCATGGTCGTTTTATACTCGAAGATATTGAAAAACGTTCCATTTTTCATAGACAAAAAAGTGGTGCACAACTTGTGCCACCTAGAGGGTATTGTATTGGTTAGAAGCCCAGCCATCGTCTGGTTTAAGTACACACATGGGGCCTCTATTTTGATCTTTTTGGCGAGCTTTGAGGCGAACCGTTGGTGATCTCGAGTCATGCTTCAAGTGGCCTGCATGTGGCTTAGCTCAGTGGCGCTAAATTAGGCGGTGCCTTTATAGTGCCCTTTAAAAATTGAAAGTTGTCCTAGCTGCGTAGTCGTCATCCAACGTTCAAGCCGGATGAGACTTTGGAGTGGATGAAAAAAAAATTGGGGGACCCTTAAGCTTCGTTTTTAAAAGTTCGACCCGATAGCGAAATCCGGCTTCTAGTGCGCCCTTCAGTCGCTAAGAGCATACTTATGAATATGTTTTGTTATATAGACACACACGCACTCACCCACGCACACAGTAGATCATACCAGTGCGCGCGCACGAACGGCACATAACAGGTTTTTTATTTAAAGCAAGAGTCGCAAAGCCTGAAAGATACACGCCGCACACTTGCCATCTCGGAGGCCATAGAGTGTCTCACAATGCCTCGCAGATAGCAGCACATTATCTGGCGTTTGCTGTTTGCTTGATCAATGCATCTGGAAAGGCATGATATGTGTTCCGCTAGATGTGCATAGTTGTCCATTTTTAGAGCTGTTTGAAAGTTCCTGTGTGTTTTTAGCGGCGATGGCTGCGCTATCTTGGCCTTTTTTGACGTAGTTTGAGGCTTCCCAATTGCATCTGAAGATAGCCGAATAGGCTCGTTTTCGTATTGAAACCTGTCGAACAAAACGCGTTAAAGGGGCCCTGAAACACTTTTCAAGTAACCATGGAATGAATTGACTAGAAGAGCGTATTGGCTCATGAATTCAACGCTACAAGAAATTTAAGAATCCATCCAGTGCGAGTGGAGCAATAAAGGTTTGTCGCATGCTGCAATTGCACTATCTCTTCTCTCGTTCCAACGAAATCTCTGGAAGCTAAGCAGGAAGGGGTGGCAGGGGCAAAGAAACTACATCACCCGCGCCTCGTGCCCTTGAACACTTTTTGTTTCTTTTTACTTCGAATGCGCCGCGTTTTCAGTGTGATCGCGCGCGCGCTTGGACAAGTAGCGGCCTCCCGAGGTGATCTCTGTAACTTGCTTTTCCGCTTACAGACGCACAGACAATTTTTCGCTCACAAACAACGAGGCCGACGTTGACGAGGGGATGTCTGCGACACGAGCTTCTAACGCTATCTCGCTAAAATGTGCGTCATTGGAACTCTGTGCGCTATTTAAGAATTGCGACATATCGAGTGTGCCTATTGGCACTGAGCATTGCGCCCTGTTTGAAGACAGCGACTAAAATGCCAGCGACTAGGGGAGTAGGGACTGCGAGTCTGAATGCGAAGATTAGTCTAAGTATACACTATGTGCCTGATGGAAATTGTATGGGTTGAATGGTAGCCAATATAATACCTGATGCTGTTAGAAATCCGACAATGGAACGCTACTCTCTAATCTTCCGACTTTGCGATATCAACACCATCCTGCCCTCTGGTGCACTGCTGCATCAGTTGAATGGCGCTCTTTATGAGAGCCTCTGCTTTTTCTTGCACGTGCAAGCACCCCCACATGCTCCGATCCCTGGCAGAGACTCCAATCCCATCCTTCATCTTAGGTGTTTTGCTACATTTTCCCATAGCAGCGTAGGCATCTATGTAAATGGTCATGTTTTTAACCTTCGTACCTTTTCATTTATATACACCTTGTAGCAGACACATTTGGCAGCCGATTCTTGGCATTTTTAGGGAATTGTTCCTACTTATTTACCTTTCTTTGCTTGATAAGATACTAGTATGGGCCTATTCACTTCCTCTACATATTGCAGGTGCTCATTGCCAACGAATTGCCTCGCATCATGGCTTGTTTCACAGTCGTCACAGCCATCACCCTGCAATTGCTGTTTGCCGACATCGTCAACAGTGTGCCCTTTTTGAATGTACCTTGACCTGGCGAGCTTGTTCACTCAAGTTGAACCGCATTGCCAAAGTCTTGAGTAAAGGCTGCCAACTTCAATATGCTGCTCACTTTGCATATGTGAACTCCACTGGGCATGTGAACTGTTCTGGCAGTATGGCTGTTAGTTGCTTCTCTGATAGCGATGCATTTTGGTGTCCATTTGTCATTCTACACTGTAAGGTTCATAATCTTGATGGAAGACGACAGATGGAAACAGCGTAGTGAGTTAATCATAAGATAAACAGGTTAAGTGCCTCAGACTTGTTGGCTGAAGTTTCGAAAATGGGTCCTCCTATCGAAGCGTCGGCCAGTGAGTAAAGGACACCTCACCTGTTCATCTTATCATTATCCCACTACTCTAATTTTTTTGCATTTCCTGTGCCTGCTGCTTGTTCTGTGCCCGCAAGTATGATTCTATGTATATACTTAATTGACATTTATAGTGTTATATTCTTGTGAGAAAGAAGCTACCCGCTCGTTATACGCGTTCTGAATGCCTTCGAAAAATCAACTTCTTCCCTAAGCACTTCCGCGAACCAGGGAGAGTACTTTGCTACTTTTCCAATAACCACTTGCTACAAAGTATCAAGTTGGAAGCTGCATTCGCTGCAGATCCAAAAAGTTGAAATGCTACAATCAGTGGCACACAAGGTACTGAAAATGCTTAAATGAAAAATAATACACAATTATGCAGAGCAGCTTATAACAATCTAAAGATAAGTAGAGCTCACCTCTACATACTAACTAATAATATCTAGACTTAATGAACAAGAATATTCGTGTCCAACCAGTTTAATCATTTTGTGTCCAATGGACGAAAAAACAGCTACTTGATAATGAACTGAACAGAAAATAGTTGCATGCCTAGTGTATGCGTTTCGTGATCAATATGTCTCGTTTGGTTTTGGCTGGGAGGTCACTGTGCGGCGGGAATTACACTAAGCAGTTGCTCCACTGATTGCGTTTTGCTTATTCTAACCGGGTGTCGGCTACCTTGAATTTCAAAGGCCTATTTTTCTGGTTTTCAAAGGGCCACACTTAATGAGCAGCTTTTCACTCAATGCATGTCAGCCAGTAATCATAAAGTTCAAAAGCATTAAAACTGATAAGAAACTTGTTTTCATGTGCACCATGTTTTCTTATACAGTTATCCGAAGCTTTTTCTGTTAAGGTAAAAACAAGCTCTTGCGAACCTTTTAAGCTCTGTCAAAACAAGCTATACCTGAGAGGGATGTGCCAGTTTTTTAACGCTCCTATACTGTCTCTGTTCATGAAATTATGACATAGACAGTAAACAGCAGAGGCAACCGTCTTCATATACAACGCATGCATCACTGTTAGAAAATAATCGACAAAGCAGTGGCTGTCTAAGGTATTCTTGTCCTCCTATGTATTTGACACAAAGCTTCACCAGCCTGTTCTTTTTTGCCTATGGACTTTTCCACTGATATTGTAAATACTATTGGTAAAAATTTTTTTCCTCAAATTTTGCTAAGATTGTGTAAACAAGATTTGTTTCCATGTTGCACCTGTATTTGTATTTTATGACTCAAGAGTTGGCGTACTATGAAAGAAACTTGCTACTTGTCTTGTTCATAATTACTGATTGTTTAAAGTTTGTGTTGTAACACTCCAATTCATGTATTCCTGTGTGACAATGACAAAAAATTAAAAGTAAGTAATCTTATTAAAAAACTGTGTTGTTTTTTCTTTTATATGGCATATGAGGCACTTCAGCATGTTCTTTCCTGCCTATGCTGTGGGGCTACATGTTCTTATGGTTGCTGCGATTCTGCACATAAAAATAATGCACCCTAATAACTTGGCAATCTACGTACAATAATAGCAACTCCCATTGTTAAAATATGTTTTTAAAGCCCTGTTCAAAGCTCTTCGTGCTTTTTAAATTCATTAAAGAAACTGACAAATGATTTTACTCCTTTATCTTTCGCGGAAAAACACAAGAACGCACACACATTACGAGTAGATTTTGGAAACAAAAACACAAATTTATTGCTTAATCTGACATTGTTGGTTGGCCGGGGAACATCATAAGGTTTAGTTTCGATATTAAGGCATCGTTTTGATACGAAGAAAAATTAGCTCAAGCAACTTTCTGGCCATGAGCCAGTGTATGCTATTTAGGCAACCAAAGCATTTCATAAACGGAGTTATTTCGAGAATAACGCTATAAAATCAGCCTTGTGTCGTTTCTGTGTATTTTTTCAAATTGATTTATTAACTGCGCCTTAGACGGCAGCCATATTGCACTGGCATATTCTAATGTCGGCCTTACTTAAGTGAAATATGCAAGCAGCTGTAGGGATAGTGTTGTTACCTTTTGTTTTCAGGGAAGACACCATAACCATTTTCGCAGCGGCACAAATTCTGTTCACGTGTGGTTTCAAACTAAAGTCTTTTGAAGTTATTAAGCATCAGTACTTCATCAAATCAGCCTCGTTGAGTATTGAGAAATTCATCTCATTAATATACTTCATTGCGTGTTTTTGGGGTTAGCAATTCCGAGCATAACTGGTTTTGATTCAATAACTTTCATTTGCATTCAGCTGGTCATCCTTTAGGATTTTGTAAAAGTGATGCCTGATCATACTGGTCAATGAATTCAAGATATATTAGACAATGATCTGCGAACAACCCGATGAATATGTCGTAAGTTATGTTGCGAACAATATCGTTTCTATAAACAAAGAAAAGCAGTTCTTGCTGTAACACATAATTTATTGCAAATAGTGCACTGAATAGTCATCTCTCTAGAATTGAAGGCACCGAAGTAACATAGGTGCAGTGCTTTTTGTTGGTCATTTGCTGATACCTCCACCTAAGAACCTAGGCAGAAATAAACAGGAAATAAGCATATAGAGAACACCACTTAAGTAACGAAATCTCCGAGTGACATTACCATGTCACGGCAATAAAAATATTACGGAAAATCTATTCATAAAACAGCACGAGGTTAGGCAAAAAGAGTTATGAAAGTATGAACTCTTCTTGACCAATAGCTATGAGAGTACCTATGAGAACTCCAAAATGACGATATAAATTTGTCATGTAAGAATATTCATGGAACATTACTCAAAAGCAGACATGCACACGAACGACTGCCTGGCCAATGTATTTTACGCTAGTGCTCCTTAATTACCCACGACGAGCCAGTGAATTGACACTTCTTTGAGCCTTTCATTTTGTAGGTATTCACCACGTGTTGTCCTAAGCGCTAGTAGCACTCGTCATAGCAACGGCAAATTGCTTGATGAAAAGATAATCATATTGATGATAACCGGTCCCGTGAAACAGACAGGTAAGTGAAGTTGAAAAAAATTAGGTCACTGCTTTTTTTCATTACCAGTAAAAGTTAACGATCAGTGTATGCAAACATGCCTCTCTTCCAAAAGATGTAGTTGCCCCTTCTGTTATGTTTCCGAAAATTTGTATCATGAAAAGTGGAATCCCTCTAGTTATAATAAACAGAATGTAGTGCAGACGAACGCCAGAAGTCAGCAGGTACTTAGGAACAAAGTGCGCCTCAAGTGCGCTCTTTATTATCCCGCGTTGAATGAACTCGAGGTCCTAATTAACAAAGGTATTGATGTAGCCTTGTTTATTGAACATGCTCGATTGACATGCTCAATATAAGAGCGTGCTCAATAAGAACATGCTCGATATAAGAGCATGCTTGATATAAGAGCGCAAAAACACAGACATTGAGAAGAGAAGAAAGCACAGACACACTGGTATTTATTGTCTGTGTAGTTTTTCCACTTCAGCTTTGTCTTTTGGCCCTCCCAACCAAGAGACTCGAGGTCCTGATTTTGAGTATCACGTTCACCTTTGATATTTTTTGAATATAATTAGATCTTTAGATAACGTTCCATTGTTAGCTTCAGCCATAGCTTGAATACGTTTGCTATTTTTATTGAGTGCTATATTCGACGCAAAAGATTAAAATATTGTAATATTTTCTTTAGGCTACGATGAGATGATTACTCAATAGGATAGATTTTTTTACAAACCAGGAACTTGCAAATATTCCGTAAGTGCAATCTAGGCACACAACGCACTTTTTTCTAGAGTTCGCAGAGAAGAAAAAAATATTTATAATAATGTTTTGCACTATACAGAAAAACAATGCGCGATGCCACCGGGGCATGCTCAACAATAGATGCATATAGTATAAACGTTTATGGTAACTTTCAAAGCAGGACAAGGTGGAAATGTTATGAATGCCTTGATTTTTGTGCTCACCCTCATACCTTGCTTTTGTCCATTTCGCCCAAAAATAATGCGCACAGCAATGTGTTTTTACAACTTAGGTTGTCCACTTGCGGCCATTAGCGATTCAAATATACGTGCGTCATTCTTGTTTTGATTTCAAAATGGACAAATGAAAGAAAATCAGACAGAGAAAAAATGGAGTCAGCTTCAGGGACGAAAGTGTGGAGCGTTCTTTGTTTTTTTCCCAGTTTATTTCAGGCTTTGTTCTTATTTATGTTTCCTTTTTTTCTTCCTTTTTAAAATTTCTTCCTATTTTTCGCTCTGTCTCTTTCCATTCTTCGCTTGATGCGCTTCTATTTTTGTATCTTTATACGTGGTTCTACTAGCGTAATGCCAAGCCACGTTCATCATCAAAACGCTTGAAGAACAAGAAGAAGAAGTTTTCACCTTGGTGTGAGCGCGCACTCAATAATATACAGAAGGCTATGCTTTTCGTGGTTTCGCCTGCGCAACGCCGAACTAAGATAGCATTCAATATAACAACATTCGACGGTATTTGCGAGTTCCATAGACTGTCACGCCGTCGTGCGGCCGCCAACGTAATTTTTTTAAAGAGTATCAGAGTAGCGGCGGGTCAGCTGTACTCAATGCATGGGCAGGTGCGTCTTGGCTGGCGTTGGGCTTTTATTAGAACGTAAAACGATTGTGTTGTAGTTACCAGGAGCAAAAAGGTTACTGCAGTCTTTGGACAGTCTCCGTTTCCTAAAAGGGTGCGCTTTTCAGACACAGCGAAGTAACAGCTAAGACACTTATTCGCGTTCATCTGCACCTGTGAGTACGTTTAGTGCATCATTTGTGCTTGAGAAACACGGGGCACTTCTCCATCTGCTCTCCATTCAGTGCGTGACCTTCCGATTTGTTGCTAACACGTTCAATGCTTCTCCTTTGTGGCAAAGCCGTGAGTTGTTTTCGAAAAAGCGTCAAAAATATCGGCATTGCGATAACTTGGTGAAATCTTACAATGGTCCGCTCCCAACTGAGTACGCGAAAGGAAATGAAGAAGGTTATAACACTATTTGGGGTTTTGCGTGACAAATCAGGTAATGATTGTGAGGCACACCTTTAGTGAAGGGCAACGTGCATGGACATCGCACGCGACAAGTGATCTGTTTGGCAGTCAGGACTTCTTCGCCTTCAACGAGACATCCTATCCGAGTTTCTCAAGCGTCTAGGTGGCGCACAATGTGTGACTGCAAAAAGAATAGGGCCATCGCAAAAAAAGGACACTGCAGTGCAGGCCGCACATGTGCACAGCGACTCCAATACTCTCGGTGGGCACGATATTGTACCACCCTGTGCGCCCCCTACAGCTGACGAAACTTGCGGCGAGTGTGGCACACTCTTTTTGAGCGGCGAGTGTAGCCATGTCGGTGAGTGTGCCCACTCGCCGCCATGGCTTGTAGTGGCGCTGACTGACACTCCCACGTTTATTTCACCTATAAACCCTATAAAGTGGCGTGGAGGATAGCCGCCATGGTAGCTGAGTGGTAGAGCATCGAACGCGTCATTCGAAGGTTGCAGGTTCGTGTCCTGTCAACGGCAAGTTATCTTTCACCCACTTTTCTTCATATTTACATTACAATTTGGTCTAATATCTTCCCCTATACTTTCCTTGGCATTATGGTCTGTGAGGTCTCATTATTATTGTGTAAAAACACGGAACAAGGAGCCCTTAGGTATACACATCTTTCGTTATTCATTAACGAGGGTCTCGTACTGGCAGACTTAGTGCCTTTGGGGGTTATACGAGGGACTATTGGTCAGCTGCCCACTGGTAACAAGTCCACGTGCTACGTGACGCCAAACAGGCTCAAAAAGAGTGTGCCACACTCGCCGCCATGGCTACTGGTGGCGCTGACTGACACTCTCACGTATAATTCACATATAAACCCTATAAAGTGGCTGGGGGGATAGCTGTCGTGGTAGGTCAGTGGTAGAGCATCGAAGGTCGCAGGTTCAGATCCTGCCGACGGCAATTTATTTTTTCACCCACTTTTCTTCATATTTACATTACAATTTGGTCTAATATCTTCCCCTATAGTTTCCTTGGCATCATTTTCTGCTAGATCTCATTAATATTGTGTAAAAGTTCGGAAAAAGGAGCCCTTAGGTATACACTTCTTTCCATATATGTATATATACATATATATATATATATATATATATATATATACGTATATATATATATATATATATATATTCATATATATATATATATATATATATATATATATATATATAGATGGATAGATAGATAGATAGATAGATAGATATATTGTAATCCTCAGGAAGTATGTCAGTGCTAGGGCAGCAGCAAAGGCTCGACCTAGCACACTGTATTCTAAACTGCGCGCTTTCGCTCAACAGCTCTTGTGCGAGAATTCACCTTTATATTTGGTGAAGTCGTGCTGGGTACCAGTTCTCTGTGCTATCCTGGAACTCTGTTCTCGGAAACTACTCTCTACCATGCCGGACGGGGACCAGTTTACGCATCTTTGGCCAACCGTCACCTGCGCTAGCAATGCTCTTCAGTGACAGTCTCCCATCTTCAGCGGTAGCGGCGACAACTACGTTGAAGCGTGGCTGTCGACTTTCGGATGGGTGAGCGCTCGGAACAAGTGGGACGACGCGAAGAAGCTAACGAGGGTCTCGTTCAATCTTGCGGGTGTTGCTAGTCTATTGTTCAGGAATCATGAGCCAGACGTCGACACGTGCTCACTCTTCAAGACTTCCATCACGGCCGTATTTGATCGAACATTTCTTAGAAAAGTCTGAGCTGAGCAGCGTTTGAGCTCGCGTGCACATGACAGGGGTAAAACATTGACCAGTAACATAAAGACGTTGCGTTTTTCTGCAGACGCGTCAACGATTATAAACTGAAACGGACAAGATAATTCAAATCATTAAATAGATTGATGACGATTCCTTTGAGAATTTGCTGGCGAGAAATTCGTCCATAATCCCTAATGTTTTTAGCTTCTGCCCTATCTACAACAAATCACGCAAGGAATGAGCTCTCACAAAACGAGCCGCACCACCCAATGCGTCGACCCTCTGTTGCCTGACCATCAGCCTTGAACAAGTGTTGCTTCTAGCGGAAATCAAGGGCTTGGTCCGTAAAGAAGTCACAAGGCACCTCTCTGGCGCCTTTCACTCATGAGCCTACCACACAGCTGTTGTCCTCCGTCCCTGACGTCATACAAAGAGAGATCGCTGAGGTGCTGCCGGCTGCCTTCGAGCAAAGTCTTGTGGCGGCCTCACTAATGTATGCTGTGGTAGGTTTCATGCTCACCCGTTGAAGACCAGTACTACCTCTCGATCGTACTTTGAGCTGCCCCCCTTCCACTCCTCCTCCTCTTTTTTCCTGGTTCAACACTGCCCCCGTAAACCCATGGCGCACGCTGGACAATCGCCCTATCTGGTTCAGCTTTACGTTCCCCGTATACGTCGCCAGGCATTGCCGCTGCTGGGTTCGGACGTTTCATGACAACCATCGAGCGCCTTACTTTTCAGTGGGCTCCAACGCGCCTTACGCTCCCTCAGACGCCCCGCAA